CAAACGCTTAGGCTATGATACCAAGTGTATATTTTGCACGACATTATTCAACATATTAAGAAAAAAGTCTATTTGATAAGAATTATGATGCATCTTAGAGTACATCTACTTGGCTTCAAGAGGAAGAAAAGTTCAAATTAAAAGATTTCACTCCATTATAAAATGGACCTAGAATATTTTTCGTTCCATAAAAAGCCTTGTTTGTCACTAGATTAATGTTATACATTAGTAAATACATTGTAAGGTCGTTTAGGTCATTAAATATTAAAATTTTTACACCGTTTTTACATAACTCTTAATGGGTGTCGAGTCGTGAGAAGAAGCGTGTCGGATCTAAATTACAGCATTTTGTGTGAAAAATAGCCCATCAAGGCTTCAGGGGCTGGTTATAGAGTATGCGTCCTGTTTTATAGTTTTGGTTCGCACAAAGAGAAGTACATGTAGTTTTACGACTTTTCTTCTTAATCTTGGTACCAACCACATTCATTCCTTTCTCCCAAGATAAATTTTACATGGGGATTTTACAGGGAGAGAAAATGATCAAATGCAGCATGTTTCATTGGAGAGAAAAATGATGTACATAGATCATGAGAGAGAGAGAGAGAGAGAGAGAGGGAGAGAGAGAGAGACTCAAAATGCAAGAGAACTGGTATATTGCTAGTGACAAATTAACCCTAATTACATCGTCTCAAGCCACAGTCCGGAGTCCGCATATAGCTCTCTCTCAGATTGGGAGAGGATCGTACACTTTGGCCGTGGTTTGCGACGACGCTTTAATTATTGCCGTGCGTACCGGGTATCTGCGACCATTAAAGACCACGATTGATAAACAAGAGGCCCATGGGCAACATCCCTCACCTCAGCACTGTGGCTAGGAAAAATGCTGAAATCAGTTCAATATTGAAGTACATGTATCAATAAGTGGTTCGAATCTTTTCATGAAAGGGTGTGTGTGTGATTTGATCAAACTGGAATCCACATTAACTGCTGCTTATTTTTTGTCTGTGGCTTTTTTCCCTTTAAGCTTGAACCTACATTCCCCCCCCCCCCCCCCCCCGTCATGATTTGAACAAACATGAATATATACTAAATGAGGATGCTTCCTCCCACATATGACCAAACATGGCTTTGCTGTTCTTAAGAAAAAGATTTACAAAGATTTTTTTTTCTGTATATTCAGTCTAGTATGCAAAACTTTGTTCGTTCCTTGTGACGCCACCCTACCCCGAGGGGTCATGATTTGAAAAAACTTGAATCAACACTAACTGACAATGTTTTCGTATAGATACTACAAATCATGGCTTTGTTGTTTTTGAGAAAAAGACTTTTAAATATTTTCTTACACATTCCTATGTAAAACCTTGATCGTCTCTTGTGGTTCCACCCTTCCCCCGATGGTCATGATTTGAACGAACTTGAATCTATACTATCTTAGAATGATTTCATATAGATATTACCAATCATGGCTTTGCTGTTCTTGAGAAGATCTTTAAAGATTTTTCCTATATATTCCTATGTAAAACTTTGATCTTCCATTGAGGCCCCACCCTACCCACGGGAACATGATTTGAGCAAACTTGAATCTACACTACCTATGGATATTTCTCCATAAGTTTCATCTAATCTGGTACAGTGGTTTTTGAGAATATAAAAAAAAAATGCCACCAAATTTGTACTATTTCTGATTCATCAGGCTTGAATAAAGGCGTGGCCCTGCATTTGAACAAACTTGAATTCCCTTCACCCCCAAGGATGCTTTGCGTCAAGTTAGGTTAAAATTGGTCAAGTGGGTCTGCCGATGAGGTTGAAAATGTTACACTTTACAGACAAACGGATTGCAAAAAAAAAAAATGCGATCAGAAAGGCGTGCCTGAGCTTTCAGGTGAGCTAAAATTACTAACTTTAGGTCTAGAACCATTCATTTTGACAAAGCTCATTGTCCAAGCACTTTAGGGGAAAAAACCTCGTATGAATTTATAATAGATATTGTGAACCTACTATGATTCACATCGTATTTTATTCGCGACCAGTCAAACTAATCCGCGGCGATTTATTTTCGCGACTGAGGAAACATTCTCTACAAATATTTGATTCAAATTTTGTTTGTGGTGATTGATACATGTATTCGCGAGTTAAAATAAGTCGCGAAACTCGCAGGTATTTCTCGTTCGCGAATTATAGTTGGCTATCAGAAATAATGAAATAAAATCCCATAGATGTATGGTAAAATTTATCTTTAAGATGAGTCATTTGAAATTCTCGTATTTTTTCTCTAACTTTTTTGGAAATAACATCTTATAATTTTATGTCGTACAATTAAGTCAAGACACGACATTTAAGTGTCAAACATGACACTGTATGTGTTTAAATAAAAACCACAATTTGTTTTCGTTAGCACCGTTTCTCGTGATCTACAAATAATAAACAGTAAATGAAAACGATCCTGCTGAAACTCAATTTGTCCAAAAAGCAATACACAATAGCGACATAGCAAAACATTATAAATTACCACTTCAAGATTTTGGCGTCTCTTGTCTTGAAATGTCAGTTTAAAATGACTAAGAGAGGTAAGATTACTAGTATCCTCAAAGTTCAGGACTCATCAGGTCTATACTGGTATTTTAAATCATAGAAGTTCATTTCAGATTTTTCTGTATACTTTGAATAGAATTTAGACTACCCATACCGGTGTCTTAGTTTCCCTGTTGATGTGACTTCCTTCCCCATAAATCATATTCTCTCTAACCGAATGAATCTCAGCCCAGAAAAATTGTGTATCATTAGTATACATTGAAGAAAATTATAAAAATAGTAACATTTAGGTATTGATAGTTTTTATTACCCCAAATTCATCCCTCTCATTGTCCCTGGCAATGTCAGCTACATGGATTTTGTTTTTACGTACAACATTTAAACCTAAAATTATCATCTCTCTACAGACCAAAATGAGTGACCCCCCTTTAAGGTTTTACATAATAAGAAACAAGGAAAGTGTCATTTCAAAAGGTTCACATTGGGTTATATATCTTATATTGAATAATTTTGGATAAAGACTGTGTACTTATGAACTGAACAATTTAACACAACACAGTAAATCAGTCTTTTACAACACAATTATTTCAAAAACACTCTCAGTATCAAACAACTCCTGTGGTTCCTATTGAACAATAATAAAACAAGTCCTGTCATCAGTTTATTATTTATTGTGGGTTTATCACACACTCTCTACACTTCCAGTCAGTTATAACATACACACAGGCTTAACAGTGTTTTTTCAATGTTGTACACTTTACAATAGAAAAGTCCTCACTCAATATGAGGGACAAATTACAGACATGATGGGGAAAAAAATTAATAAAAATTCCTACAACTTACTGTCCATGTTCTTCATAGTAGAGATGGGATTAGAGCATGCTGACATATTTGTGCAAAGGGAGACAACAGAGAAAATATCTCGACACTCGACATTAACATTCAATTAAGTTGCTGCCCACATTTAAATACTGCAAATAAAACAGCACTACCGTAATTTTGGGATTATAGGTCGATGGGGTATAAAAGTCGAAAGGCTCATTTTCAGCCTTAATTTTTGAAAAATCCTAAGATAGGGCGAACTTACTATATAGGACGAGGCTTTCTTTCCCGTTTACTAAAGATTCTTACGCAGATACAACGTATCAGAACAGGTAAAACCCTAAAATTACCGGGGTTATTCCGTGACATGAACGTATCAAGAAAATAAACAGGTATTTTAATAAGTACAGCATTTAAATTAAGTTTTTTTTAAAAATGTAGTTAAAACTTCTTTGAATTGTGTTACTACTTATTTTTCTCCAACTTGCGTGTTCAATCAATCAATGCCTCCGTAGTTTCACACTGTTGTTAAATCAGAGGCATAAATAACACGTAAATACATTATTTTTTTACAGCTATAATTCGGGAAATACCCGAGACCAATGAATAGCAATTCCGATTTCAGAATTACTTGGACACATTCCTAATAAATTTTATTCAGACAGTATTTACCGGTGGACGACAATTACTTCGATGTCCGCCATTGTTATTTTTCTACTCCAGGGATTGGCTAAATGACGCAAATGACTATTGAATGTATATATCAAGCAACAGTAAAGAATTGAAATCATATTAACACTCTATAAGTTTAATTTATAAATTTAATTGAGAGTACATTAATTTCACAATTTGACTGTCAACATGAATTTCACGACTTTGTTTGTTCAATGAAGTGTAACACTAATACCCCTATAATGGCACGTGGGTTTCTCAATCATGCCCCGCAGGCAATTAATTAAATAACACAGGTGTTGTTTAACACATTTGCGTACACAGTGTAAATCCCTTTATCTGTCAGACAATTAAAATTTTGTTAGAAGCCAATGTTTGTATACCGGTAGTTCAATGTATTTCTTGTGTACGAAGCTTTTAATAATGGCAACAAATTATTTCACTCATTTTACATTTAAATAAACATAAGACAATAAAAAATATTTAATATACTATTTCAATTTACCGCTACTAATAAATGGTAAAAACACTATAGTTGTGATCGTGAAAATTTTCCGTATTTTAAATTTTGATACGGTTGCGGTTTTACTTTTAGTACAAGATCGCGACTTCCTAGCTTCACAAGATGGATACCGCATGATGTTAATGGATAATACGTTGAGGAATTATTTAATAGGTGAAGCAATGTTGTTTTCCTTTCTCATCAACGGATAATTAATGGAATTTATTTTGTAAGAAAGTTTTAAAATAAATATGTTATTGTTTACCGGGGCATTAATTTTTTTTTGGCGAAAAATAATCAAAAAAGTTGCGAAAGGGGCACAGATTTGCTTTGAAACTGACGTAAATTTTACTGATTTGGGAGCAATTTTCGTAAACTTGAGCCTTAAATAGGTCGAATTCTGAATATTGGTCGACCCCAACGGTTCTGAGGAAAAAAGTATCGACCTATATTCCGTAAATTACGGTACATATCAAATGTCATAATTGTACATGTATTATCAAAAAAAGCTCAACCATAGTCTCTGATAACACAGAAACCCTACAACATCAGGGATTTACCTATCTAAACACCCGATAATATCCCTATCTGAGATACACCAGGTGAAGTCTTTTTCTTTATAATTAAATGCAAAATCATTCATTTCACAATAAGAAAACATGCCATGGGGGTCAATTTGCAAACAATTAGCTACAAATTAAAACTCTCTGAACTTTGTCCTTGTTAAGTGATATAACCAAGTTCAGAACAACTGCCCTATAGCAGTACCTTGTATGTATCATTAAGTACGCGGCTCTATGTCTTTTTGTGTGGAATAGGATAAAGTTCACACAATCCTCACACTAACACAGGAACACTTGGCTCTCGGCCGTTCTGAGACACCTGCTTTACTGACAGTGACACATTCTTCGGATCTTCGGTCATTCCTTCACTTGGATTTTTTCTTCACTTCGTCTCCATTCTCAAGCTTTGGGGGAGACATGTTCCTGTTAAACTTGGCTACGTAGGCATCAACCAAAGCTCGAATTTTGACTGGATTAATGTCTCCACTTTTACTGTGGCAAACCTGGAACACAGAACAGTGTAATCAGTTTCATGTGACCACTCCTTAACATTCCTCACTATAAAAAGATCAAATAATATATTTCTTTCAAACTTTCATAATTTTCCGTCATGCGCATTAATATGGATAGTAATTTGTGAAAAAAGAAAGTTCAATTAAATCTATCATATTTGCAAAACAACACAGGAAAAAAAGTCAACGTTAATTCCTACATGACAGCCTTAATTAAAAGAAAGATAACCCTGTAGGAGCGTTTTCCTACTGAAATGAACCCCCCACAAACCTTAGGCACCGCCCGCCGTAGGATCTCCTTGTACTGTTCTTTATTGACTTTCTTGGCGCTGTAGAAAGGTTTCAGTGCTGTCTTCACTTCATCTACCACCCTCTCCTGTAGGTGAAGCTTTCGGAGGTACTGCAAGAAAAATATTCATAATTTTAAACAATATCGACATATACAAACATTTGTCAGAAGAATCTGTTTAATTCTTAAATGACAAAAAATAATCAATCTGTGTAGAAGGAGTACCTTTTCTTTATTGGTTAGCTCGACGGCTGAGGATGGAATCTCGTCAGCACTGTTCATGTCATCCATGATCTGATCAAACGTTCTCTGGGACTCCACGGTGGAGGACACACGGTCCTCGTGGCTGGAGGACCTGTGTCGGTCCTCAGACCTGTGTCTGTGGCTCCTCTTCTTGTCCTTTTTCCTGCTCCTCTCCGACTTCTCAGACGACGAGGTGGGGATCTCGATGTTCCCGTTGTCCTGAGGTGATGACATGTCCATATCTATCATCTCCAAGTTCTCCTTCTCTGACTTCACCTTGTTAATTGTGTGCGTTAGGATTGGGGGAAGGGGAACTTTGAACACACTGTTGCTGTTTTTCTGCTCCATTACTTCCGGTTTACGTTCTTGAGGCTCTAAACCTTTTGATTCTTTTCCAAACATGGCCAGCTGTGCCTGTGTGTTAAGAAGCTTGGTGATCTGTGAAATCTGTTCTAGCTGTGATGCTGATGGAATGATGTCTGGTCTGTTCATGGAGATAGCCTCACTTGATGCTAGAGGGAGTGGCATTCCTTCAGGAACAGACATGGGTACCACAGGTACCTCTGGTCGTAAAGAGATCACGTGAGATTCTGGATGAGGTGGATGATGCAATCTAGGGTCTCCACGAGGATCTGATGCTAAAATTAGGGGAGGTTCATGTGGTAAATGATCTAATGCACCATTGAGAAGCCCTTGCTGTCCTGGTAGTGACACCAGTGAAGGTATTCGTGGGTTGAACTGGTTCTGCATAGTAACCATACCTGCTGGAGTGGAAACAAGACGAGGCTGAAGAGGGTGTCCTGCTGGGAGTTGCTGGAGATGAGGAAATGTTGCTGGTCGATTAATAAAAACTGGGTGATTTACGATTAACTGTCTCTGTGGTGGCAGGCCACCTGGCTGCTGAGCTGCAAACCCTGGGGGTAACATGCGGATCTGGAGAGGGATTTGCTGTCCTGCCCCCTGTAACAGAGGCTGGGGTGGCTCCCCTACTGATGTTGGGAGGAGGATAGATGGGTCCCCTAGCAGTCCTTGGCCAGGCATTGGAGGCGGGGGTGGCCCAGGGAGAGGTGAAATGCTTTGCATAGGAAGGTCTGTATGAATCAGTGGACTGACATGCATTTGGAATGGTTCAGCTGCCTCCTCTAACACAATGGGTGGATCCTCTGTTGGTGATTCCTCCATATCCACTGTTGGAAATGCTGGATCATACGCCAACTCTTCATCCTCCTCATCAAAATCTTGACTTTCTGCAACCTCTTTTACTCTGGTGTCCTCTTTTTCAACATTATCTTCTACAATTTCTGCCTGGTGAGGTTTACTTGGATATTTTTTGGACACGCTGGTGTCAGTTAACACTTTGATATTGGTCATGACAGGAGGCATGGGTGGGGGGACCATATCTTCTTGAGGTGGAAGAGGAGGCTGTGTCAGTTCCCTCGTTTCCTTGGATCGCCGACTTGAGGATGAACGCGGAGTAATTATAGGTTCAATTTTATTAGATGATTTATCACCTGAATTATGTTTGGGTTTTCCAGAGCTTTGTTCAGATTTTTTCTTTGGTATATGATCTTGTTCTTCATCAGATAAAATCACTATTGGCTCAGTCTCAGTTGTTCTTATTTTTTTGGCTTTTTTCTCTTTTCCATCATGAAGACGTTTTATACCAGAACTAAACACATCAAGTTTTTCCTCTTTTTGACGTGGATTATCCTCACTCTCTCGCCTGTGAGGACTTCTACTTAATTTAGAGTCTCTATCTCTATGCTTCTCACTAGATTTTTCACTTCTACTTTTTTTACTTGATCGTTCTAAAGATTTTGACCTTCTCCCTTCAGTAGATTTTGATCTTTCATGCCTCCTCTCTATAGACCTCGATCGATCACGTCTAGATTTTTTTCTTTCACGAGACCTTGACCGATCCCTTCTCTCTTTTGACCTTGAACGTTCCCTTCTATCACGAGACCTTGACCTGGAGCGCCTTTCTCTTGATTTATATTCCAGTGACCTTGACCTTTCTCTTCTGTCCCTTGACCTTGAAGATTTTTCTCCTGACCTAGAGACGTCTCGTCTCTCTCTTGACCTTTCTCTTCTTTCTCGAGACCTTGACCTATCTTTTCTTTCCCGAGACCTTGACCTCCTCTTTCTCTCCCTTGATCGACTTCTAGAGCGATGCTTGCGTGATTTAGATTTGTAATTATCTAAGTCCTCCTTTTTATACGACTCCTCTTCCCTATAAGACTTTGATTTACTGGTCTTGTCTTTGGCGTCTTTAGAGGATCGTCTTTCAGGATCGTCTTTCCTGGACACCTTTTGTCCGTATAACTCAATGTTTTTCTCGGTCTTCTCGGCTACACTCCTATCCTCCGAGTCTCCAGCCACTGTGATTAACAGCCCTGGATCCTGCTCCTTGCCTTTCGACTCTGACCTTTTCCTTGAGCTTCTTGGAGATTTCCTGTCGCTTTTAGAAGATACATTTTTACAATCCATCTCTCGATCCAGGAAACGCACTTTGTCAACTCGCCATTTGTCATCTGAAATAAAAATGTTTAAAAAAAATTCTGTTCAAGATTTCTGAATTTTGTGATCAATGTTCTACACATAGTATTCACTTTATTTTTTAAAAACATATGTAATTCAAAAATATATTTTTATAAGAAATTTTAACTTCATTTTATATTCAAAGAATATAATGTAATACAGTAAAGAACACTTATAATGGATGTATTCTGCTTCAATATAAATGTATTTCATTATATTTGTTACCTTCACAATATATTTTAAAGACATGGGAATGAAAATTGCTGAAGTGTGTGCTTTTATTCATTAAAGCTCGTTTTGTAGAAGTTTAAGCATTTTGTTTAGTATAGGACTTTTGTATAAAGGCTCCTCTATTACCATTATATTGTATTACCATTATATTGTTCCTTGGTTATGATGGCACTTCCAATCCCGGCGTCAGACCAGGATGTACTGGGAACAGAGTCATTAGAGTCCTCGTACTCAAACTTAACATCCTCCACGACGGGGTTATGTAACACAGGGAATTCACCAGGTTTGGGAGACTTTTCTAACTTAAAATCCTCCGCGTCTTCTATATTCTCAATCAAACTGTCCTGTGTCTGATCATCAAACAAGTCACTAGTATTAGGTTTATGTGTTTTACTAGAACTAGATTTAGTTTTCTGTTTAGTTTCACTGTGCTTTGTATGTTTATCACTGTCCTTGTGGGAATTTTTATCGGATGATGAACGAGACTTTGGTAACTCAATATCATCCTCGATATCTGAATATAATTCCGCACTAGTACCACTTTTACTTGTATTTAAGAAGGTCTGCTTAGATCGGTAGTTCCTGCCCTTCTCCTTCCCAGGGGTCTTGGATTTTCCACTTACAACCAACTTGCTCGACTTAAAGTTTCCATCCTCAGATTTCCCTTTCAGTGTCTTTGTCTCACTGTTTCCTTTACTAGAGGAAGATCCTTCACTACTTTTGTCACCTGTTTTAACAGAATCACGGTCTTCACTGTCCGGTTTAACCTTAGACCTATCACTACCTGACACAGTGTTTGTAACCTCTAGTTTAGAATTATCGGATTTTTCCTCCTTGCCCTGGGTGGTACTTTCCTGACGTTTCTGAATTGTCCACAGGGAATCCCCCAGGCCATCATCGTCCTCCTCCTTCTCCTCCAGGGGGATTACCACTGGCTCCTCCGGAATATCGACCTTGTCATCTAACTCCATGTTAGAGGATCCGGCAAATATTGGAAGACGGAGAAATCTACTCCCCGCCCCGGCGTCAGTGGGATCTGAGGGGGGTGTGAGTGAACTCACGGAGGCAGGGTCATCGTCGTCCTTACTCCCTGATGATTTAGACTTCTCCTCCATAGAGTCGGACTTCAATGCAGACAGGGAACCTAAAAAGAAATGTTGCGCATACAGTATCACATTTAAATACCTACACATACATCTTTGTATATATCATTTCATTCACTTCAATTCTCATGTAATGATTTTTCAAATGAATGCATATTTGACAAACATTTGATAAACATTAAAATACCTGTACTTGAAAAATTTAAATGATAGGAAAACCAGTTCATTGCACAGGACATAATACAATATAGATCTATATGTATTATGTTTTATCATAAAACATGTATATTTACATGGATATATAGATGTACTAAATCATGAATAAAAATAACATAGGAAAAATAAATCTATGTTGTTATAAAGCAAAAAATTTAACACAAATAATTCAACTTTTTATTTGAATCCAATCTGTAAAATACAATTATAAAATCAATCAAATGTTATATGCTATATACTGTATAATCAAAATTTTTTGCCCCCTGTATCCCCCCCTCTTTGCTAGGAGGCAAATTTAAAACAGAGAATTCAATAAGGACAGCTTAATCTTTTAAGCAGAATTTTGTCCAGGCTAATTGAAAGCAGGGCAAAATTTTTTGCAAGTGTAAGAGGACAAAAATAAAATCAGGCAAAGATAACCCTGTACTCAGGAGCTTGGATTTGACCAAATTGTTTTACTATTTGATGCCATGTAAAAAATATATTGTGGTTCATAAAAGTTGTTCTCAAAAATTTCAGATCTCATCTATTTAAGAATCATCAGCTCTCTGTTCACTTACACAAACCTTTAATTAAAAGATCCTTTAAATTCTTTAAGTTAATAGAGGATAATATAAGAATGAATTTCTTGTTTTATCTGTCTGATCTGGGGATTGATGAATCTAAAACTCTTATGTACAAAATGTAATACCACTTACGCACACTATTAAAATTTAGGTACCACTTCATCATAAATTTTAATCCAAGCTTTATGTTTAGTTCATGATTTTGGTAATAAAAGCTTTTTCACATAAAATACCATCTCTGTGAATTTTAATCCTGTCTGTTTTCATGTGGAGCATTTGCTGACTCTGAAATATACTCCCTAACAGATCACAGGGGGCGCTGGTGGTGCTGATGGAGGGGGACCCCAGGGTAGAATCCTCATTGGGTCGGAACCTGTAAAACTCATAGACATTAATAAGCATAGCTCTGATTGGAATCGTAAAAGAGATGCAGACTTAGTGGACATACAGAAGGGAAATTAACATGCATTTTGAACCTGTACAGCTCCAAAGATATTGTTAAATATTGAAGACCTGGCCTGGGGGCAATAAAACTTAGACAAGCTCACTTTTGATCTCAGTCTCCTGTTTCCACTTTTAAGTACTTTGGAAAAAGTGAGACCGAGTTCAAAAGTGAGTTTGTCTGAGTTTTTATGGCCCCCAGTACTGGTGCACAATCCACTTATGAAATTATTCCAAACCTTGTTTGCTAGTCTGTCCATCATATTCTTTAATAGCACTTATGAACACATATATCTCATTTTTAAAACCTTATAATTTCAATCTATATTTCTTCAATACAACTAGATTCAATGTCCTCGATGATATCAATATGACTTAATCTCCCACTAGACTTCAAGTTTTGGTTTTTTAACTATTTTAGTTTTTAATCCCACAGTTGTACCTGAGAGACGAGTCCATCGTTAGTCTAACTACAGGAGTTCTTCTCATGATTTCTTCTGTGGAGAAGTTGACATTTGACATGTTGTAGGAGGTTTTAGCTTTCTTCCCTGAGTTTGAGGAATATCCCGAGGTACTAGGCTGATCATCATCTTCTTCACTAAATACAGAAATTTAAGTTCAAAGTTCATTTATTCACTCAAAACTATTTTAAATCTATCGTACATGAGGACAATGAAAAATATTTACAGAATATAAATTCAGGTCAGAGGTACAAGTATATGATATACTTTTAGATGTATGAAAAAGCGTTTGAGCAATTGTATAAAAAGGCCTATTAACCAATTAAAATTATTTCTAAGAGACCCTTTATCTCATCAAAATTAAATTAAATATGACCTGTATCTTTTAATCATATTTATTAATATTCAACTTTTTTTAATGAACAAAACAGGAGCTTTCTTCTCTAAATCAGAGTCCTACTTACTCATGAAAATAAATGAGATCATTAGGCGCCCCTAATATGTGAAGTGGTGCAGGGCCATAATCTTCGGCCCTCTCTCTGGGGCGTTTCTGTAGAGGTATAGTCCGACCTGTAGGAGGTTTGGAGAGTCCCAAGCTTTTAGCAATTCTTGACTTGACTGTAGTCACTGGTGCCTCCGGTAACACTCTTCTTACTAATTTCTGTCAAGAAAATAAATAAAGTTTAGAATGAAATATGACTAAAACATGTACACGTCTATTCAATTTATACAATAAAACATAAATGTTAGAGATTAATCTAGATTTCTCAAAATTCAACTTTTTTTTATTAAAGGTAAAAAATCAGTTTCTAAAACTTTACAAAATTTCTGAATTTCCATAAAACTGTCACAAAACAATAAATAGAAAACAATGTCCAATCTGGGACTGGTTCAAGATCAAAGTGGCTATGTCGCTTATATGTAGAGTTAACATCTTGAACAATATGCTAGCCTAGTCCTCTGTAGAAAAAGTTAGCATCAATACATGTATTGGAAGATGGATAAAAAATCCAAAATCCAACAGCCTCCTCAGTAACTGATTCACATCACAAGAGATACTCACAAAAAATGATGTTTCCCTTAATATTAATCTCAGCAAATTTTAAAACTATAAATTTACATCAATATAGTTTCCCTGCAGTTCAGTTCATTTTGTTTGAAAAAATGTGATTACTGAGATACCAGGGGTATTTTTTCTTATATAATCCTTTGGGGAAGAAAAATAATTTTCCAATTTCAAATGTTTAAGTGTTTATATGGAAATCAGAATGTTATGAAAAGTATCTAACTCACAGATTTTAGAATTTAAGTGATCTTTCCATTCCATAGAGCTAGATATCTACCACCTAGCTGCTAAGTCAGTCACTACATTCCTGAACACAGCTCTGATGATATTCCTACATCTGTATCAAACACATACCTTTCTACCAGTCCTCTTCCTTTTACCAGTGGACTTCTTACTTCTGCGGGTTTTCCTTTTTTTGCCTTTGCCTTTCCTCTTTGCTGGTTGCTTTCCCTTAGACTTCTTTGTAGTACGCTTTCCTTTGCCCTTAGATTTCCTCTTGGTCTTAGTTTTGCGTTTTACCACTTTTTTCTTTGGCTTTTTAGCCGGTGTTCTCCTGGATGCAGAGGTTGTACTTGTAGATGGAGCATCTTCATCAATGCTTTCATTCTAAATACATTAATTTACATGGTCAAAATGATTGAAATAAATATTGACAGATATTCAGATTATGCATCCCTATAGTTTGGTTTAGCCGATTAATTATGAATAATAGAGGAAGTTGTCTGATGTTAAAATTTGGGATCCAAAATCAATGCTAACAGAACTTCAAAACAAAATACATTTAGTATTCATGGATACTGACAGAATATAATTTTGCATACATTTTTTATTTGTTTTATCAAGTTTCTCTCTCCAGTTTTCTCTTATAATTCATAGTTAAAATCCTTCCTTTTAGAGGTCTTAGTCATTAACCATCATTAAGAGTCTTTTTTAAGTGTATACCTCGCTAAGTACATTTTCCCCCTCTGAGGAGCTTTCCGAGTCTGACAAAATAATCATTCTCCTGTTAAATCTGCTACGTCTGATTTCCTGGATGTGTTGGAAGATTCGTTCACTCATGCGTGTCCGGGCGACCTGTCGTCTGTGTACCCTGGGTCGGAGGGAGTGGGGGAGGACACCGTTCTCCTGAATGATGTGATAAATCTCCTCATCGTCATTCACCACTTCTGCTGCTCCCCCTCAAAATAGACAGATCATGTGTACTCAACGTAACAAAATATCATTATATATATAAGGGTGTATCATTAGTACTGTATTCATCTATTAATTTAAGATAATTTGAGAACTTATATGTACTTAAATTAATGTACATTTTTTCCATTCATTGCACAATAAATTTTAATAATTTAAATCTTGAGAGCTATATGTTAATACCTTCTCTCTCCCTTTCATGTAGTGCTTCACAATCAGGACAGAACCACTCCCCCGCTGGCACCTCAGCCAGGGGTGGATCCAAACACTCACAGTGGTACCTACAACATGGCAAGTTCATTAACATTCAATGTATCACTAACCTATGAATATAATATCTCATGCAATTATTGGAGGATACTTATAATTTGGAATTTCTCCTACACAAAGCACTGAACAATATCAGCTGGTAAATCATGCAAGCTCCAAGTCTTGTCTTTAAATCGGAGAGTCTGAGACGTACCCTAAATCACAGCCATCACAGAGAAGAAGCCTGTCCTCTCTATCACTTCTACCACATGCCTCACAAAATATAGGATCCTCCTCCTCTTCTGGATCATCCTGCTGTTTATCTGCCACTGTAATCTACAGAAATCAAAGAGGCTATATCAGAACACTCATAAAAACACCATACAGCTGTACTTTGGTATCCCAAACACCAATATCTCAAATATCATGGACATGTCAAAGTATGCTACAAGTTACATCTTCTTTTTCTCAAAATATTTTAACCTCTGTAACTCAATCATTTGAAATCTTGAAGTTTTCTCTACGCTCTTTCCAATTTTAGAGTTTGATTGTACTTATATGGTGTACAACATAACTATCAACCGTTATCATGTATAAATTTATTAATTAACAGTGAAAAAGGATGTAAACTTAAGACAAATCTACATTGTATTTTTCTTCCTATTATGACTCATAGAGTAAATATGTTTACTTTCTTACCCTTTTAAATATTGCATCTTGCCCAGGATGTTTTGCAAATATCAGATGAAAAACTTGTCTATCCACAGGGCATGTGTTAACATTCTACAAAACAAAGATAATGTCAGACTTTCTCAGCACTTCAAGCTGTAAAATTTTTTTTTCTAAAAAACTACACTGTGCATGAATAACAAAAAAATTTTTGAAGGTTTAAATGACATATATCTTATATTTTCTCAATTACAAAATTCATCTTCTTTATAAATAATTAAATAAGAGGTAGTGGAACATCTGTAAACATTGTGACAAACCATCAACATCAGAGAAAAGTTGCTCGTTTATAACACATCAAAAAGCTGTAATATACATCTTTGACCAAAATAAATTCTATAAACATGTATAAATACTACAAAATTAAGAATCCCATTTCTGAGTCTATTGGTACAGACAACCTCTACCTTGGACCATTCCTGTATACACTCGAGACAGAACGTATGATCACATGACTCGGGGGTGCCGAGGTCCTGGTCCCTGAGTCTGTCTAGACAGATAGGACAGGTTTCTCCCCCTTCTTCCTCCTCTTCTTCTTCTTCAAACTCGTAATCCTCCGTCTCCTCCCCCGAGTCTTCCTCTGTACTCTCATCATCTTCTTCATCGTCGTGGTCATCACCATCGTCATCATCTTCATTATCATCATCATCCTCTGTATCTTCATCAGTCTCCCAGTCTTAAAGAAAATTTAAAATTTGTAGTTATGTTTTTTAACAAAATCAATGTGTAGTTAACTTGATTACTTAAATATCAGTACAAGATTTGTATTATATTATTCTTATTTATAAAATAACTAAAAACATTGAAAATTTCATAAAATGGTTAACTTCTGATATTCATTGTCTATTACAAACATAAATAGCTATATGCATCTACATGTGCATATTTTTTTTAAAAAACTTCAATTAATATAAAATTATTCACAGCAAACTGTGAAAATCAGAAAAGACAAGCACAATTTCAACTTGAATCAATAGCCAAAGTAGAATTTCACATTGTCATTCCCTTTCAACAATTTTACAGTCATAAAAAGGCAGCTAGTATATTAAATAAAGAAAGAAATAAAATTACTAAACTCAATCCAAATTAATTGAGATTCACTTGAACATCTGAAAAAGAACTATATGCGGTATATTGCATATATTTGCCCCCACTAAAGTCAAATTTTGAAAACTTCCTGAAATGTGTTGAATTCAATAAAATGTACAAGAAATATAAATTAACAGAAAATATTATAGTGTCAAAGCAGTGTTTTCACAATTTTTGTTTTTATGACGTCACAAACTAGTCCAATTTTATATCCTTTTTCAGAAAGAGGACAAAACGGACAAAATTTCGACAATTTTAGCTTTAAAATTTATAGAGCGCAAGGTTGTTCAGGAACAATATTGACATATTTCATTGATATTATCATTCTACACATTATATCAAAATGTTGATCCTGAACACACATGCGCTCGGTGACTTTTACTCAAAATATTGACGAAATATGTACATTTTTCTGTAAAATTCATAAAAAACTGAAATTTACGTCATGTTTGTGACGTCATTACGTACATATGGTGTCATTACTTATGAAAATATTCAGTGCTTTGAAGTCAGCATATACTCCCCTGTTTAATAACTTAATTAAATATATCTCCATCAAAGTTTGATTTGGGGGGCAAATATTGGTTATTACCGAATAAGGTTCTTTAATTTTTTCCAGTTACCCCTTTTACTATTCTTTTGCAGTTTTGTCCAGGGAGTTGTGAACTGGTACACTTCATTAAGAGTTAAATTGCATCTTTTAATTGCAATGTTTCTTTGTGCCTACTTTGAGCTTTAAACACTTCACCATTCAAATTATGACTAGCGAGATTTTACAGTTTTAAACTGGTCTCTATGCTATTCTCTTGACTATCTCCAAATGATCTTTGAAGGGTCATCTTCTGCATCAGAAGTACCGGGGTACCATGTTGAGTATGTTTCATGCCAAAAAAAGTCTTTATCTTGCTTAATTACATGTATTTCAGATTAAATCTTCACAGAGAAAAAGAGATACTCAGATAGACATTAAGAATGAAGAAAGACTTAACAAGATTCACCCCATCCCCTCACCCATCACAAACTTAGGAGCACTGAAAATGTAAGTTTCTGATTTTCACAGCAAAGACAACAGTACATAAGCCTTATAATTAAAGTTAGAAATAAACTACCATGTTCTATAGCCTTCTTCCTCTTCTTCAGCGATTGCTGACAAAACGCGGACAGATTTTTTTCTGGTAAATTAATTCTACCATTAAAGAACCTCATGGGTCCTTCTGCACTTCATCCAAACATATTCCACATTACAAAACAATCATAGTAAAATTTCAGTGATATATTACATTAAATAACAGAAAGTAGAAAATAATGATAATGCTTAGGAATGATATGTCCTGTGCAATGACCCCTATAAACATTTATAATTTCTCTGTAGAGTACAGAAATGCTACTTTGACTACTGATTATGATCCAGATTGGAGGAGGAATTTCACCTTCAGGGTTATCTTCCTTGACAATGGACTCTGACCCTGCGTCAGGGTTGACGGGGCTTCTCTCTTGAGCGTTTGTGTTTTCCATCAGAATTTCTATATAAATGGGAAAAGTAATTTTAAACAATGTGAGCAGTGGTAAACAACTTGATTTGCATTTTTCATTTTTTGTGATATCATAATGTGTAAATTTTCCCTAAATCTAGATTTGACAATTTGCCTTTCAATTTCTTTTCTTTTTACAGTTACCCAACATGCCCAAACTCAAGGACCTCTTCAAAAAGAAACTTGGACACTTAATGATATTTTCTATTTTAGGCTACTCAAATATGTAGCTTAAATAACCTGTAAAACTTTGTTTAGATACTTTATATATCTTCATTTAACTACTAAATCATACTACCTTAAAAAAAATTTTTGGTCACTATTATCAGAATTTCTGGTCACCATAAACAAATATTTCACTCGCCATGACGAAAACATTTTGTGAAAAACACCAGTTAATTCAATCAAGTATTAGTATTATGTCTTTATTAAATCAATCATTACTTATTACTATGACTAGAAACAATTTGCTCAACAGAAACATATTCAAGAGTGATTTTTTCATTAACTGTTTTCAGATGAGTTTAAAGTTGAAAATTATCACTGCATCTTAGTTCGTTTTCTGCACATCCTGAGAAAAATGTAAATTCAAGGAATAAGCTTGATTTGGTAGCTAAATAAAGCTACTTCAGATAGGTAAATAAAGCTAAATGTATGTAGATTATTTAAGCTACATAGCCATGATAGCCAAATCTAGCGATTGTACCAGACCTGGTCTACACTATTGTCATTTTTTAAAAACTTTTTAAGAGACAAGAGGTATGTTTTATAGGCATCCTTAACCTAGCTGCATTTTTTAAACAAGTGTTCATAAGCAGTTGCAATGTTTAAACTGCTATCCTTTTGCTACATTTAGCAGCTAAGTGTAGTGATTTTCCTAGACATGTTGAAAATGAAAATAAGATGATCAAAGAGATAAACGAGATCATGAAGGAACAATCGTTTGGTCAACATTTCCTGACCCATTTTGTAGCGTTTTGAAATTGTATCTTATGTTACCGAAGCACTGGTAAAGTTGTAACCCGGTATATTTTCTAGAGGTTCATAAAAATCGGTTTCAGCAGAAATGAGACTTACTACGGCCATAAAATCACAATGAAAGTATTGCATAAACGCTAATTATGCAATCTGAATACGTTGATGAAATAATAAAAAATATTCCATTGTTATTCCAACATAATACTTCGATTATGAGCAAGATAAATTGCTCACCAAAGTTCACCGATTGTAAATGGATATCTCGTCGGCGACCATATTGCCGAATGCCCGGATGTGAAAACGGAAGTGACGTTCTTAAAATTCATATCACAGTCCACTTTTATCCAAACCATTCTACCCCTCCTAGGACTTTTTGTTCCATTTTTAAAGAAATTTAATAAGAATTAAAACATTATGGATTGATTATTATTATTTTATCCATTGGCGTCGGAAATAAATTGAAAGAGGGGGAGGGGTAATTGAAAGAGAAACAAATTCAAACCTGAAAAAAAAACGCGAAAATCATAATTCGCGGGGTGTGGGTGGTGGGGTTGTGGGGGTGTTATGATCAACCCACTTCTTTCAGTCCAATTTGTTTTTCAAAACCTCAGCACTTACTCATCTTTGAGTACTCTGCAACCTGTGCGTGTTGAAAGTGTGTGTGTGGGGGGGGGGGGGTTAAACCTAAGCCCCAATGTTCAATCTCTATCTTTGTAAAAAAAAAAAAAAAGTTTTTTTTGGGGGGGGGGACTTACCCGGTTCCGCCGCCTATGTTATCTATATTTTATCTATATTGATATAAAATGTTTGTGCAGAAAAATAAAAACTTTGTTCAACAATTTCAGAAAGGTTAAATTCGTGCACAGGGGCTTGCTCCCGGGGTGTAATAATTATTTATTATAAAAAAATTATATAGGGTAATAATAACACTGTTGTTTTATTATAACCCTATATGATTTTTTAAAATAAATAATTATTACACGCCGCCGGGGAGCAAGCCCCTGTGTAGATTTGTAGATTAGTGCTACTCTCAACATTTCGTTGGTAATATTATAGATAGAACGTTTGTTTTGTTTTCAAGTTCTTTAAAATTATTTTGAATAATTTGAAGTCTCTTTAAATGCCCATTAGGCAGTTTAAACAAGGTACTAAAGCAACTATGCCACGTACATGTATCTGATTCAATACAATTTTCCTTTTTTCCATTATTCCCTTCTTTGACTTCTCTGATTGATTAGACTAGGTTCCAATCTTCATGGTATTCTTTAGGATTATTTTCATTTCGTTGATGTAGCTTGTTGTAAATATTCCCAACAAACTGTCGATTCTTGTATTTCGTTAATTTAGCGTATACTTTTTTGTGGTTGAAATGAATGAATTGTTAGGAAATTTAGATATTACGACAGAATTTTTTTAGTAAGTTGTTTCTTCATTTTCCAAAGATCAGAGTCAATTGCAAGCCACTTGTTTAATTTCATGTACCTTCTTATTTAGTGATAATTTTTAAGATGTTATGGATATCACTTGTAGTTTCATTTTTTCCTTTTGGTTCATAAGTATGTCTTTATCTAAAAAAGGTTTCAATGTCTTATTGGATCGAGTGTGTAAAAAAAAGTTCTGGTAGTGGCTTACTAGTCAACTGTTCATTTTGTAAAGCTTTTTTTAAACTTTTATTTCGCTAAAGCCCCCACATGGGGTATGTTAGTACAATAAGAGTTTAACAAAAACACAAATCAACATATGGACAGATAACATAATGTTCTTTGATTATATGTACCGAATAGGCATTTCTTGTACATTATCATTATTTATCTCCCTTTATGGCATTCTGCGTCAATTTATATGAACATCCTAATCATCCTGAACATGTATCATATGTCATTCAGACATCACCAAAGTTGATTTCAAAAAAAAAAAAAAAAGAGTGATCAATTGTCAAGCTCAAGGTCAAGGGGTCAGAAATCATAGTATACTCGGAGATATCTTTTCATAAGTAATGTACATGTCAAATATGAAAGCCCTATCTCTTCTCCATCAAAAAGTATAAAATAAAATTATCATTTGTGAAAAGTAGGTCAAACTTCAAGGTCAAGGTCACGAGCTCAAAAAATCGTAGTATATAAGTTCACGAGGTCAAAAATCATAGTGTATTAAAAAAGGTCTTGTCACAGGTAATACACATATTTTATTTAAAAGCCAGGCGCGGGTCCAGGATTTTTTCCAGGGGGGAAGGGGGGGGGGGGGTTCAACGCAGTCAAAAAAAAATTCCAACCCAGAAATTTCTTGACAAGGAAAAAAAAACAAAAACAAAAACAAAAAACAAAACAAAAAACTGTAAACTCTTTTCCCAAACATGAAAAACCTATTTCGTGGTGATGGAGGGAAGTGGGGTTGGGGGTTAGTCGTTGACTTTTAAAGCTTCATAACTATAACTTTTCATACCAATTTTACGTAGATCCGCGTTTTCGAGGAAGGGTCTGCATTTTTTAGGGGGGGGGGGTTCCAAGATCACTTAAATTTTACTTGGATTTGTATATACATTTAATAACTCCACAAATTCCCGGGGATTACCGGTACTCCTCACCCTTCTAGATCCGTGCAAGAACATGTAAGCCCTATTCTTCTCATTCAAAAAATATGACCAAATCAAAGAAATATTTAATTTTTTTTAAAGCGCATGGCCGAAACTTCAAGGTCATGGTCACGTAGTCATAAAAATCGAAGCGTATTTACAAAAGTTTTTTTTTCCACAAACAATACTTAGATTTAGTATGGAAACCCTATCTCTTCTCATTCAAAAGTCACGACCAAGGTTAAAGTTTTTGAAAATTAGGTCGAACTTCAAGGTCAAGTCACGAGCTCATAAATCATGGTGTATTTAAAAAGATCTTGTCACAGGTAATACACAGGCATATCTGATCTCATTCAAAAGCTATGACTTATGCTTTCAAAGTAATGTATAAATTATTTAAAAAGTAGGTAAAACGTCGAGGTCAAGGTTACGGGTCAAAAACCATAGTGTTTTTAGAAAGGTCTTGTCACAGGGAGTACACATGTATAATATGACAGCCCTGCCTCTTCTCATTCAAAAGATATGGCCAAGGTTAAAGTTGTGACTGACGGACAGAACTAGAGACTGACAGGCGAATGAGATTTAATGTCTCCTCGCTATCGCGGAAGAATTGTGGGCCCCCTGCTTTCGGTGGCTCTGTGGATAAGATGCCATTATTTATGGCATATTGTATCAAATATGAACACACCATCATATGTCATTCCACATTCCAAAATAATCGGCAAAGTTTTTTATGCCCTGTAATCGAAGATTCAGGGGAAAATATAGTTTTTGCCCCGTCCGTCTGTCTGTCTGTCTGTTTGTCCACAAAAAAGTTAACCTTGGCCATAACTTTTGAGTGGGTGGGGTCATATCTTTCATATTTAATAAGTGTATGCCTTTTGACAAGACCTTTATTTGGGTACCACCAAATTTGACCTCGTGA